TCTGGTTTTCAGTTGAAATTGGAATTGTTAATTTACACAATAATAGGAGTGCATTGACGTTTTTTTCTTAACTCGCAAAAATCTTCAAACAATTTGCTACCGATTGGTGATAAAATTTTTTGGAAATAACGAAATAGGGGGGATAACGCCTTTTTTTCTGGGGTGATTTTTCAAAAATTTATTTTAAAAAAAGTACTAACTAGCAAATGTTTTTTATTAGCTCGCGATTTTTTTCAAAACTACTTCAATGAGGAAAAAAATAAAAATTTGGAATATCTATACATGAGGGGCTAATTGATCGGATCTGGTGCTTGTGGAATATTTTTGCGCGCCTGTTTACGTGACGCGCCATCTATTTTGGCGGGCTTTCGGGGGCACACATACAGCACACAACTGTAAATCTCGGACGCCGTATACGTGAGACCCGCCTCGAAACAAGTCCAGAACGTCCAGAACTCCAGACGAGTTAGAACTGGTCAGAACCGTCAGAACAATTGACGAGGTGCATTGTGCGCAGCTAAGACGAGACAAAAACAGAAGCGTCTTCATTCTTTGAGACTACTATCTATAACAACTGACAACATTCTATCAATAAAGCGGTAATAACGAATAAATCAATTATAAAGTGATGAAATTAGTCGTAATCTTCAGCAAATTGAACGAAATGCCCCGGAAAAAACCGTTGGGGGGTTGTCCTCCGTTGGTTCGCTAGCCGGGGCTCTTCGTTCCTCTTCTGTTGAATCGTAAAGCAAATAAAAAGAAGAATCATCGATAATTATTGTTGATCATTAGGATCGGCAAAGGACAATGGAGAGGGGCCAAAAAAGACGGCGAGAGTGGGGGGAGGATCTGGAGGACGAGTATTTCGCCGAACCAGATGCTCAAGCATCGAATGGAATAACCTGGGAAAATGCATTCCCCGGCGCAAAATCAGATTATCGACTGAAGGGGCTCAGGAAAATCGCGCAGGGGTGAGTTTGATTGACTAATTATGGGTTGAAGGGATCAAAATTTTGTTAACGATAAACCGGCGAGGTACAAAATTGCAGCGAAGTTTATGAAATTTTTCGAGGACATTCTTCGAGCCCTGAGTTACTGCGCAGTTTTAGCTTTCGTGGGAGGTTAAGGATATCCAAAGACTCCAAAACCCTTTAAATTTTTTTTATAAAACTCAATAGGTACTGACAATAGTCCAACAATCAACGATGGAAATTAAATCCCTTCCTGGTTTCAATGTACATTCATATAATTGAGAATCTATTTGATTCACTTTACGCTGTCCATAAATTTTTCAGTAAAACAGTCATCGGTAAAGTGAATTGGATCCACTCCAGGGGCTTATTGACGACTGGATCAGGCACGAGATCGTACCTTCCATTCATGATTGAGGACAGGTCAGGAGAAATGCCGGTCACAGCCTGGCACGAAGTGGCTGTGCCTTTATTCAACATCATTGAGGAAGGACAGTTCGTGAAATTAATCGGGAGCAAAGTGGAACGGAAGAGGAACAAAGCAGATGGACACGAATTTCAGATCACAGTGGGGAGAGGGTCAAAAGTCGAAGTTTGTGTCAAACTCGGTGAAATTTGCGTCGTAGACCCATCTGTTCCAATGCAGGTTCAAATTAGCTATTTGAAAAAACCACACACCTGTGCATCAATCACTCTGGACGTGAAGATGCTGGTATCTGAAGGGGTGCAATGCAGCCAGGCAGGAGTCCAGTACGTTCACTTCATTGGCTCTGATGGGACAGGGGAAATCTCGTGTATAATCTATGAACCACACAGCGCTAAGATCGGCCATCGAATAAAGGTAATTTTCAAAGGTCTACCATTTATTCAAAACTTCAATTTCATTAATGCTTTTGCGGGACTATTTCAGGAGCGAAGCGGTAAACCGAGTTAAGTCGATTTTAACTGTTGCCCAATTTTTGACGAATATCTCGGAATCTAAAAGAGATACAAAAATTTTTGTCAAGACCTTTTTTGTAGAGCAAACTGAGGGTTATAAAAAAGGTAATGAGCAAAATTTTGCTATCTCTCTTAGATTCCGAGATATTCATCAAAAAATGGCCAAAAGTAAAAATCGACTTAACCCGGTTTACCGCTTCGCTACTGATTTGTAACTTAAATTATTATTTTCAATTCCATTAATCCATCAATAAGATTATTCTAAAATACGTGATGTGACGTTGGCTTCAGTGAGATATAGAATAGTCTTTCAATCACAATTTTGCATTACATTATGGAAAAATCATTAACTGAATGCTTTGTTCACAGGAGGGAACTCGCGTTCAGTTGGAGAACGTCGCAGTCAAACAAATAAACCCAGAGTACCAATCCCACTGTAACCACCCATTGGAGATTGGAGTTTTCACAGAAGCGAGGATAAAAATTCTGGAGGAAAGTACTAGGACGTGTCCAAGTACCCAAACTGTTGCAGCTACACCTGCGAGCAGTTGTCCCACTGCTGGGGGGAGTCGTCCAAGGACTCCCACACTACAGAGACCATCCAACGTGATGGAGCGGCCAATTCAGGTGATTTTCAAGGATGTGCACATTTATTAAGACACTCTTCAATTTAAATTTAAAAAAATTAAAAATTAAAAATTTTATTTCGCTTTCTTTTCATTAAAAAAAAAAGTTTCCATGAAGGAAAAATGTCCTGGGGCTATTTGTAACCCCAGTTTTTTATTCTAAACTTAATTATTCCACTGAGAAAATTATTCGATAATACGTAATGTGAAATTAGCGACAATGAGGTATGGAATAAACTTTGAAAATGGTTGAATCTATAGAGTGGTCTCTACCAAACTGTGAACGATACTTGGATATCCTTAAATTGTATACAAATCAATAATTGAATTTTGTGTTCACAGGAGAATGTGCAGGTAAAGTTGGAGAATGTGGTTGAAAGTAACGTCGACAGAAGTATCGCACCCCCGTGCGAAAACGATGTGGAAATAAACACCTGCAAGGAAGGCAGGGTAACCAAACTCGACCCCATTCATGACAGCTATGGGCGCTTTTATACTAAGGACTACGATTGCAACTACAACCTAGACGATGAATTCACAGAGCCTACAGAGGCGAAGTATTCTGATGCTCCAACTGCCGATGAAGTGAGCGCAGAGGCGAAGGACGCCAATGTTTCAATTATGAATGAAGGGGTTGCGCTTTCTCTCCCTTCACCAACGTTCGAGCGAGTGTCACCCGTCGTCGGCCAACCGTGAGTCAAAAAATCATTTATTTATTCCAATTGGATGAATGCCTCTGCAGATTAAAAAAACTTAGAGAAATCATTTATTCACGAATGGAATGATAATTTGTGCGATGCATTGTTTCCAGTGGGATATTCCTCACTGTCAGATATGTGGTCACTCCACAGACTGCCAAAAGCTTCCTGTATGACATGCCTTACTTCACTTTTGTTGGTGAAGTCGGTGGCAATTACATCACGTGCACAGTCTACGACTCAAATTCCACCCTTATTCGTCCCATCGAAGTGGGTGCCCGTGTGAAAGTGTTCAATCATGAATTGGTACATATCGACGATAGATACCCCTTACTGTGTGATAATCCACATCAGATTGTCGTCTTCAACCCAAGCAACATCAAAGTTGTGAACTATGGTGAAAGAACAGCTCAGAAGTTCTACCTGGCCACCTTCGACGGACTAGCTGATCTGCAAGTTTATGATTTTGTTGGTAAGAACATCAGATTAATTGAAATTATCTAATGATCTTCTCACACGAAATTTCCAGACTATAATTAAGCTCTGGAGATTTTTTCCAAAAGCCTTTCGAAATGATTTCACTGATTGGAAAAAAAATTATTATGTCGGGGAATAGTGCGTTTAGTGGGGAATGGTTTTTTTAACTTCTTTTAATATAATTAATAAACGTGCCAATTTAACTATCAATTGATATACGTGTAATAATGATTTCTTTTCAGATGCAGATGTAATTGTCGCTCGAGTTGAATGCGATAAGGGTGTCGTGAATATTTGGAGATTAATGGTCATGGATGTAAATAAATACTTGGTGAGAAGCAGACAAAATTTATTTCTCGTAATTTATGATTGAACATAAATATTTAATTATTCACGAAATTATCCTAGCCATTATAGATTATCTCTGAAAATGCTCAGAAAATATTATTTTTTATTCTATTTTAAATTCAATAATTATTGAAATCGTTGTACATATGAGAATAACTATCCTTTAATTTCAATTACAATATTGACTATTCATTTTTTTTTTCATTTGGTGACAGATTCCGATCATCATCGCTGGATCAGAAGAGATTTTTTCCTCTTTCCTCATTGGTAACATTGTCCATTGCAGCGACCTCCAATTTCGCATAATCAGGGGAAAGTCTCAGCTCCACTTCATTGATGGAAAATCCAAAATTGAGAGGAAATCGGTTGATGAAGCCCGTTAAATATTCAAAAAAGACTGGAATGCTCCGCAACTTTTTTTTCATTTGCTCTTAGTATTAAAGAAAATTACATTCCTTAAAGACGTATCTCAGAGACAGATATCGTGGAGACTATTTATTTATATACATTATTTGAAGACTTTATTTGAATGTTAAAGTTATCCCTGGAGGATGAAAATGGATTGTGAGTATTGTGTTCAATATTAAGGTTTTGCTCATTATCTACACCATGTACTAGTTTTTTTATCTGTAAGATTGTGTTAGTGCTCATATTTATGCTGTGTCAAGCCAAAGACTTGGCCCAGTTAATAAAATTTTATATCGAGTTCTTAACATTGTTGTCAGATTTTTTTCTCTCCCAGGTCAACAATTTTCTGTAAGCAATAAGTAATTTAAGTAGCTCTACTCCACCTCAAATAACATTTAAAGACGAGTAAAAAATAAATGAAAGAAAAAAAGGCAAAATAACGTACAGAGCTGGACATCATCTCTCAAAATAATTATTCCAGCTGACAAAATAGTACTAATTTATTCTTGCCTCTGAAATTGAAATGAATAAAAATGTGATATTTTATTGAGAATAAAAACTGGACTATTATTTTAAATTTTTTAATCGGAAAAAATTTGAGTTTTTAATAACTTTATTTTCAAAATTAGAAATTGACTCATGGGTTCAGCATTCATTTCGAAATGTTGGCATGCCTGCAATCGAAAGAATGGAGCATTCCCTCAACTTTTTTTTTATTTTGAGTACAGTATGGTATGGGAATGGAGGAGAGTGACCAAAATGACGAGTTTCTCTGCGTTTACGCCGTCCTCTCGTGCTTCATCCTGTCGGTTACGTACGTGGCGAGCCTGCACGTATGGAGCTTACCGCACACCAGGTAATTCGCCCTCTTCTCCTCGTTTTTCTCCAGCAATTCGAAATATCGTGGCCTCCGGGTGTTTGAGGGGGGCTAACGGAGAGTATCGGCGTCAATGGACACCAGGTGACCCCCGAGTGTCCCGGGAAGATTTAAAACCAGAGGAATGCACTTCAGATTTATTTTTGTCTTTATAGCAATCTTAAAATTTTCATGAGGAATCAATTCTTAATTTTGTTTATCATTTTTATAAATGTCATCGTTTTATATAAATGAATAAAACCATCAAATCAACCACTATTATTCCTATCTTGTTGCACAGAATATGAAATTATCTAATTAATTAGATTTCAGGAAGAAATGGCCTGACAAAAATCATAAGAAATTGAAATGGAAAATTTAATTCACTCCTTGAATGAAAATTTGTTAATGTCTTGTAGGGAACATCCGAGTATCATCAAGAAGAGATTCTTCAGTGTTTTCATCATGACACTGATCTCCCCGGCCCCTCTGTACTTCGGGATGCACGCCAAAGTCTTCCAGAAGGTGAGGAATTGATCGAAAAATTTGATCGAGTGACTTTTAATCGAAAAAAAAAATTTTAAGGCATCAATTTGGGAGCTGCTGGGTCTGAGATGGTCTGGATTACCCCAGGCTATTTTCATCCCTCTGTTTCTGACGATGGTGCTGTTCCTGGGGCCCCTCAGCATGCAGGGATTCAACGGACTCTGGCGGCTGTACGCTGGTCAGTATGCCTGTACGTACATACGATTTTTCAAAAATATTTATTTCGATGAATTTGAGACAACAGCAAGAAGTATTTCTCGAACACTTTTTGCACGAATTGATAAAGATTAGCCTCAAGGGCCTCAAACGATTCTTAATCGACTTTTTATTTATTTTATTGATTTTTATTTCATTTTCAGAACCCATGTACTGGCTGGGAAGTGCGAAAACCCTCATCTTCTGGAGGAATCAGGTGGTCGCACCTCTGAGTGAGGAGTGGACGTTTAGGGCGTGCATGCTGCCACTGCTGCTCCAGTGCTTCAGCCCCACCACTGCCATTTTTATATGCCCGTTGTTTTTCGGAATGGCCCATCTTCACCATGTGGTCGAGAGAACGAAGATGGGAATGGATTTTAAACATGCCATCGTCATCACGTGTAAGAATAAATTATCAAATTAATTCCCACAAATTTTCCAATCAATTTTAAAAGCTCAACGTGACAAAAATCGAAGAATGGATTAATTAATTAGTTAAACTGGTTCTTGCATCTCTTTCAGGTTTTCAATTTGCATATACGACGTTGTTTGGAGCTTATGCAGCCTTTCTATTTGCCAAAACAGGTGACTATAAGTTGATAAGACATTTATCAATTAAAAAAAAATATTTAGAAAATTAGAAATTGTTTAAAAAATTTGATCTATTCTGCTGTTTAATTTTTTTCGTTAATTGGTGATGATTAATTTACTTGATATGATTTCAGGTCACTTTGTGGCTCCATTTGCTGTTCACTCATTCTGCAACCACATGGGTTTCCCAGATCTCTTGGAAGTGATTGCATGCGAGGATCGCCTGAAACGAGCTGGTTTACTAAGCCTCTTCGTTATCGGCCTAGTGGCCTGGTGTTTCCTCCTGACGCCAATGACAAATCCAACTTGGTTCAATAACAATCTCTTCTGGCATAAGCATTTTTTGTAATTCTACGCCGAGAGAAAAAGACTATTTTCTCAAACAAGTCTTGTTTCATCCGAGAAAACCGCTAGTTCAGGAAACAAAAATGATTTACCACAAGAGTTTGACATCGACGATAATTTTAATACTGGGTTTCTCCCTAAACTCGAAAATTTGATCATTGAATCGTGTGAGTATTGCACTAATTAGATAGGAGTATTTCAAGTGAAGTCTAGTGTCTTAATCGATAACTGATACTTATGTACATAAAATTTGTGAAATAATGTTTAGAGGCGATTAATAAATGATGATTTACTGATGAGTTTATTGATTTCATCGAGATCACAGAAGAAAGACAGTCACTTATACAATCTCCTCAAATCAAGGAATTAAATCTATTAAATATATCTTTCAGATTCAACAAATTCTTCAATATTAATTATGAGTCGAATGATTCTCGATTTCCCTTTCAATACAAGATTCATCCAATAAACATCAAATTCTTAAAATATCTTCTTCATTTTGAGCAGTAAAAATAAATACAATAAATAGGGAGCCAATTGGAATAAGAATTAGTGGCTAAAACTCAGAACTGGGCATTATTTGATAGAAATTAAATGGACATTTGGAAGAGATGAAGAATTTTGTTCTAAAAATTGTCTTCAACTATTTCAAGTGGCAATTTGCCCAGCCCTAGTTAAACTATTCCCCGAATCGATAAAAAAATTCCTCCTCTGAATACCCGGAGGAATGCAAAATAAAATTCCCAAATATTTCCCACTTTTTCAAAAATGGGTCTTCTTAAATCATCGATATCTACAATTCAAACAAATCACGTCTCACTTTTCAAACCAGGAAAAATTTCTCCAAAATGAAAAAAAATCTTCAAAATTCACTCGGCCGATGCCAAGTGATTGACGATTAAAAATTGTCCACCCCACCCTCGCCTCTGATTCAATTAATTTAGGAATTAATCCCCTATCCTTCACGACTGGCTGGAGCCAGCCCCCTCCGAGTTGAACTGCGACTGATTCAAGAACTGCACATTACTGGCTTTCAACCTGGGCCCGGAGGAGACCACCGAGGCGCAGGGGCTGATGCAGGGAGTCGAGCAATGGCTGTTGCTCAAGTCGCACTGGTCCAGAAGTTTCCACAGTTCCTCAGGAGTCGGTCCCCCAGGGAAATTCCTGGTCTTCTGGGCATCATAACAGGGGTCGAGAGCAGTGGTGAGGTCCCACATCTGGATGGCCCCGTTGGAGTGCCCTGTGAATATGAACCTCCTGGGCCTGGAGCCCATCCTGCTGGAGCCCTCGCACTCGTGGACGCAGAAGGAAGTGATGACTGAGCCGTCCACCGACTGTATAACGCAGACTCTCTTCCCGTTGGAGGCGAGTCGAACGAACAATTGATCCGTCTCGGGGACGACCTTCTGGACGAAAACCTGCTCGTCGTCCTGCTCGCCGAAGGGGCCGAAGTCGTTGCCAGCTGGGTAGCTGATGGAGGTCTCCATCGAGTCCAGGGAGACTATCTTGAAGGAGGCCTCGGGGGTCGAGCCTGGCTGGGTCGATATCATTCCGCGGAATCTAGTCACTGCCCAGGACCGCACGTGGTTGTACTCAGAGCAGACTGAGACGAGGTATTTCTCGGACAGGGTCACCTGTAAATTAAGGAATTTCTTAATTTCATGAAAAATTATTGGAAGTTTGGGAATGAATGACGAATTAACACTGAAAACATTGATCAACTTCTAATTTTGAAAATAAAATCCATTGAAATAGTTAAACTTCGAGAATGGACATTAATCGTTCATTTTAATCCAGTAATTGACTTTTGCTCCGAGTGAAAAAAAAATTCTGAAGTTATTTACCTTCGTCACACTACTCTGGTGAACAGTGAACGTCTGAAATAATTGCGGGCCATGTCCCACCGTCTCCGGATGCTGCACGATAACCCTCACACTCCCCGACTTGGTGCCATAGGCAATCTCAATCCAATTACCACAGAGACCTGCTCAAAGTCACAAAAAACATTTCAAACATTATGCAAATAATTTAACACATCTACTGTAATTGTTATTAGTGAGTTAAGAGAATGCCAAGACTTCCATAAGACTTAATTTTGATCAACCACTTTTCTACAGAATTTGGTTTTAAGCATTATAAAATAACGTGATGAGGCTATCAGTCGTTTTATCACATTCTGTGTTCGTTTGAAGCTTATAAAGTCCATACTTGCCTTGTGCTACTTATCCAGATGTTCAGTATGTAATTCATGTAGCAAAAAATAATCATAAGTGGATTTTTGATAATTATAATTATTCTTATTAGATACTTACTTGTTTTCGGGGTGAGGTAGACGGATATAGCTGTTATTGGGTCGAGATTTGGATCTCTGTAGAGTTCAGTCACCAGGAGATCATTGTCCTTCATTCTCAGGGGGAATTTCTGCATGTCTAAAAGCAATTTATGGTCATCAGCAGTCGTGAAGTTGTTTAAAAAATGAAAAAAATAGAACCGCATTTACCAATGTAATAAATCGACCCATTATTGCACCCAAGCAGTAAAAACGATCCAGCAGTGTCGAACGAGGAGATCGAGACGACGTCCTGGATCTGCCAGTGCTGAGACATAGCGTGCCAGACTCCAATCTTCCCAGTTTGAGAGAGAGCCACGAGCTGGCTCCCAATGAAGAAGAGGTACTCAACTCTGACGTTCAGATTGAATGTTCCAATGTTCGTCTTGATGCCCTCCTCAGAGACACTCCACAGTCTCACTTGTGATCCGTAAGCAATAGCTACCATCTTGCCATCAGCTCCAGTTCCCATTTTAGCATTGATCGCCACTCTCTCGATGATTGCCTCTATGTGAGGACTCGTGAACGCGTGCTGCCATCCTGAAGAGTCTTTCAATCTGTCACAAATTCATAAATGTAAAATTGATGATTGAAGAATTATTTCATAAAGTTGTTTTGAAGGAATTTGGAAAAATCTTTGCTCTCACCTATAACACGTGATGAAATGAGCGTAAGCAATGACGATCCAGTTGTGATGAGCCTTGATGATCTGCACCCTGAGAGGATCGACCCAGCCCGAAGCCTGATGGGGTCCAAACACAAGGCCAACTTCGTTCTTGAACAATTTGTTCATGTCTGCCGAGCTGTTGCGAACGTGTCTGAGGTCCAGTGAGGGATTCCTCGAGTGCTGGAGACTCCTCTGAGGTACTCGATAATCCAACGAGGAGTTCCTGGAGTGGTTGCTCAGGGGGGGCTTTTGATTCTGTCCACTAGCACCTGAGAATGTTCGTGAAAATAATAAAAAATATACTTCTGGAAAATAAAATCAACATGAAGATGGAATTATCTCGTTAACGGGTGGATTTGAGAAAAAATATCAAGAGACGTATTTTGTATATTTTTTTCTCCTCTACAAAAAAGGTCTTATGACATTTTCCCCTACAACCACTTCTTCCCGAGATAATTCACCATTAAAAAAAATGGAAATGAGATAAATCTCAACTTCAATCGAATTTTTTTTTGGGAAATCATCCTGTACCTGCAGGAGCAGCTGCTTGTCCCCCACCAGGGCCATTGGACGTGCCTGCGACCTCTGGACGTCCCCCAGAGGACACCCTCCCATGCACCGAGACATCAGCCACAGGAGGAACCCCCACAGGCTCCTGAAGGGGAATGCTCGGAGGTGGCAGATACCCATAAAACAGAACATCTCCACAGGACGACTGGGTCAAGTCCTCGCAGAGGATCAGTCTCTTGATCAATGGAGTTATCCCGTAGTACTCCGCCTCGTGCCTCAATCCCCTGATGTCAGTGTTCCGGAGGTCTATGTCCCTCGTTCTGAGGTAGTTGAGGATTATCGAGAACATCTTGGGGTCCCTGTCCACGAAGAGGGCTCCAGTCTCGTCCCTCCTGCTGGCTATTCTATTGCTGGAGGAAGAGAATGAGGAAACACCAAGTGATGTCAAATAAAATTGATTTTTATTTTGATTACAATTGCAATTTTTAATTTTTTGAAAATCGAAAGAATAGTGATTTAGAAGCAATGAGTGAGTAAATAAAATTTTCATGATGATAAGTTTTTTTTACAATTTTTTAGTTGATTTCATTTCATCGACTCAATTATTTATCAATGTTTTTTGTAATTGACCAGACAATGAAGGGAAAATATGAGGAATATTTTTGTGAAACCAAGAGCTTTTATTTTACCTCAACAAAAGTCTGATAAAATCGATTTTATTTTTGACTCCAAATTGCAATTTTAATTTTTTTGAAAATTAAAAGAATAATGATTTAGAAGTAATGAGTGAGTAAATAAAATTTTCATGATAAGTTTTTTTTTACAATTTTTTAGTTGATTTCATTTCATCGACTCAATTATTTATCAATGTTTTTTGTAATTGACCAGACAATGAAGGAAAAATATGAGGAATATTTTTGTGAAACCAAGAGCTTTTATTTTACCTCAACAAAAGTCTGATAACATCGATTTTATTTTTGACTCCAAATTGCAATTTTAATTTTTTTGAAAATTAAAAGAATAGTGATTTAGAAGCAATGAGTGAGTAAATAAATTTTTCATGATAAGTTTTTTTTTTACAATTTTTAGTTGATTTCATTTCATCGACTCAATTATTTATCAATGTTTTTTGTAATTGACCAGACAATGAAGGGAAAATATGAGGAAATTTTTTGTGAAACAAGGAGCTTTTATTTTACCTCAACAAGGCAGTGAAGAACGAGTCTGGGATCCAGGTGAGTGTTTGGCGGGAGGTGGAGAACCTGGTGCCTCCCACGTTGAGGTGGACGATGTCACCCATGCTCAGGGAGTGAACTATCGCCATTTCCCAAAGGTTTTTCCACAATTTCCAGGGGTTTTGCACAGTTTCTAATTATTTTCCCACGATTTCCAGGGGTCTAAGAGGGTTTTCAGACTGGTGACAGCTGGGACAGTGTCATTGTGAGGTAAACAATGGGTGGAGAGGAGTTTCTGAATGTTACTGAGAGATTACCGAATGAAACTGCGAGATTTTTGTGAGATTTTCACTGTTTTTTCACCCCCCGGGCTTCAAATGAGTTTAAAATTTCATTAAAATGAGAAAAACCGAGGGGTTGACGAAGGAAGATGTTTGTTGGAGGTGTCGAGGGGCTTCTGGAAGGCTTGGGCTTAGTCCTCACAGCCAGAATCGCTGGTCAACCATAACCTCAAAATAAAAAATCGATTACTCAAGAATTCAAGTGGAATCGACAACTTCAGGTGATTGTTGTGTTCTGCCTGTCCATGGGCTCCAGGAGAATATCCACCAGACATAAGACACAAAAGTTCCCCTAAAAACGCCGAGAAATTAATTTAACATTAATTGAAGTGAACGGCAAATTAACCACACTAAATACGTAACTCCGTGGTGAACACGTAATTATTTAATTCGAGGATTTTCAGTGATATCGACGAGGAAGTCGCTGGAATCGTTAGGTTAAGAAGTTTTTTTTAATTTTTATTTTTTATTGTTTTGCTGAAATGAGTGATAATCAAGAGATTATTGGAGTCGAGAACTCTGAGAATGTCGCCGAGGCTGAGAAATTCAAGGAGGTGGCCAATGATTTTTTCAAGAGTGAGTTTTTGCCATTTTTTTGGCTGTTTGTGGGCTTCCGCGGGTGGCGAGGGTGGCGATGGGAATGGAGAACGAGGCGGGTGGCAGTCACGTGCGCTGAGAACTAACCAAACACGGGAAATGTTTATGAAAATGTTGAGGATAACTGAGGATTTTTTAAATTTTTGTTGAGGTGTTGGGATATCATTGGGTTCAGAAATATTTGTTGAGGGAATCTGCGGATGCTTAGGACCATTTTTCAATAATTCCAAACGTTATTAAAGGCCTCAAATCGAAGGCCTCAAGTCACCCTCAAATCGAAACGTCTCATCCGCGCATTTCTCCTGCAATAATTACCCAAATTGTGCTCAGTAATAATGAATTTCTGCTCCTCCCACAGATCAAAATTACGAAAAAGCCATAGAATTCTACACAAAGGCTATAGAATCAAATCCAAACGTAGCAACTTACTATGCAAATCGAAGTTTTGCATATTTGAAGACAGAATGCTTTGGCTATGCCCTCACTGATGCATCTAAGGCCATTGAGTTGGATAGAAATTATGTCAAAGGCTATTACCGACGTGCTGCTGCTTACATGTCGCTGAGTAAATTCAAACAGGCCCTCAAAGACTTTGAAACAGTCACCAGAGCGAGACCCAATGACAAGGATGCTAAACTCAAATACACCGAGTGCAATAAGATTGTTAAGAAGATTGCATTTGAAAAGGCTATTTCTGTTGAGGAAAATCAAAAGAATGTTGCTGACAGCATTGATCTGGAGGCAATGAGTGAGTAGAATAATTTCCATAGTGATACGTTTTACTTAACAATATTTTATTTCACTTACTTAATTGACTGAATTATTTATCGTTTTTTTGTGCTTTCGAATCAACATAAACAGTTGTTATTTGTTATTTTACATTTAGTTATTTTGTTATTCTTATGTTATGTTATTTTACAAAGAAAATAGTTGGGAAATGTTTTTCATGTATTTTCACTTCTTTAAAAAAATCATTTGAATAAAATCTCGAAAAATCATTGAAATAAAAATAATTTTTCCAGCAATCGATGACGATTACACTGGCCCCAAGCTAGAGGATGGCAAGGTGACAGTGACATTTATGCAGGAGCTCCTGAAATGGTACAAAGACGAGAAGAAACTCCCCAGAAAATACGCTTACAAAATTCTCCTCGACGTGAAAATCTGGTTCATGGCTCAGCCAAGTTTGATAGACGTGTCAATACCAGACGACAGTAAATTCACGATTTGTGGGGATATTCATGGACAGTTCTACGATCTACTCAATATATTCGAGCTGAATGGTCTGCCATCGGAGACCAATCCTTATGTATCCTTTTGCAATTTTTTTTCCTCCTTCTGTTGCAGCTTCACTTTTCCTTAAACTGTTGGATTTTTCCTTAATGTAAAATTCCAGTTGTTCAATGGTGACTTCGTTGATCGAGGGTCATTCTCAGTTGAATGCATATTCACACTTTTTGGATTTAAATTATTGTATCCAAATCATTTCTTCATGTCTAGAGGTGATTATTCAATTATTTTTCATCTGCATTTTTGCAAAAGTATTTTTCTTCGCATTCCCATTCTCTAATTTTCATTGATAATTGGGGTTTCCCTTCTCAAACTAAATTTTATACTCTAGGAAATCACGAATCAGCAATAATGAACCACATGTACGGTTTTGACGGCGAAGTAAAGGCTAAGTACACAGCACAGATGGCCCAACTCTTCACTGAAGTCTACAACTGGCTGCCCCTAGCTCACTGTCTCAACAACCGAGTGATAGTGATGCATGGGGGCCTCTTCTCCCGTGACAACGTCACCCTGAAGGAGATTCGGGAAATAGACAGGAACAGGCAGCCCCCAGACGAGGGAGTCATGTGTGAACTCCTGTGGTCCGATCCCCAGCCACAGCCTGGACGTGCACCCAGTAAAAGAGGGGTTGGCGTTCAGTTTGGGCCCGATGTTACCCACAAATTTCTGGAACTCAATGGACTCGATTACGTCGTCAGGAGTCATGAAGTCAAGAATGATGGGTACGAGGTCAGCCACGATGGCAAGTGTATCACTGTTTTTTCAGCTCCAAATTATTGGTGAGTATGACTTAAGTGTGGCCCTCAACCCAATAAACTGTTCATATTTTTATTGTAAAATACTAAAAATATCACTATTTTTACAGCGACACAATGGGTAACCGAGGTGCCTTTATAACCCTAACTGGTAAAGACATGAAGCCGAATTTCACAACCTACGAAGCAGTGGTATGTCGAATAGAACTTTAAAAAATAATAAAAAGACAAAAAGTGCTAATCTGTTGAATTTCTCTTTTCAGCCTCATCCAAACATCAGGCCAATGCAGTATGCCACTTCTCTAATAAAATTCATGATCTAAAACCGTGATGAAAAACCCTTAGGAACTTATTATTAATAAATTAATAACGATTAATAATGACTAAGAATTTTTTTCGAGTAGATTCAAAGTGTCCATAATATATTTGATACCAACGCAGGGAGAACGACGATTTGTGATTGAAATTGTCGAGGCCGAATCACTTTGAGGATTAATCATCAATTGAGAATCTGGGGTGAAGTGTAGAACGTAATCCATCGATTCACACGTTTTTGTATGAAATTGATGATTGGGGGTTCTCATTTCTTTCCTCAATTTGCATTAATTATGTTGAGTGTTATAAGCTCAACAGTGTCTTTGAGAGGAACTATCGACAGACTTTTTTGTAACTATTGTTAAAGCTGTTGATTTTTTCCCTGAGCTGTCAATTTTTTTATTAAAATATTTCAGGAATGAGGGAATTTGAGGGGAAATATGGAGAAACCTCCTTAGAACTTATGAAATTTTCATAAATCTTTTGACATTTCCTTAAATCAATTATTAGTTGAACAATTTCACATTTAACGCGTGACATCGTTTTGTTACGTTTTACCTATTCACTTCTGGAATGTATTATATAAAAAAAACTGTGAATGCGTGAGAAAAATGAACGGTAGGGGGAGGAGGGCTAAAGGAAAAACTGGGAAAACGACGATTCAGGAAACTTTTTGTTTCTTTTTTACTCGATCGTCGAACAAAATTTCAAAACAGAATTTCCAGACAAAATTTCCTGAATTATGCTAAATTACTATTTTTCCTGGTGTTTCATTTTGTCCCGGTCTCCCCCAATAGAAAACTCAAGACAAATGTGAGCGTAAAAACAAGAGAAGCTTTTTAGATTGGATCTCAGGAGCTTATCCATACCGAATAATTTTGTAGTGACGAATATCAATGAGACGATAGTTTCTCATTATAAGAGAAAGCGTAAGCTTGAAAAATCCAAAAAGAGATGAATTCATTGAAAAATTATTTCTGTTTTCAATTCGCCCAGAAAAATGAACTAATTCGTTGTGAAACATGAAATTACTATCGGCATATTTCTTATATCTGAACTCGATCGCTATTCGTCGCGTTATTTGCGACAGATTTTTATACAAAAATGAAAAAAAATTCCATGATTGATGGATTTAAACTTTGATTCGATTTTTTTGTTTTTTTTGTTAATAAATCATGTTTATAATGTGACTGGTCTTGATTCTCTACCTATTCCCAGTTGACGTACGGTTGAAGGCGATCAGTTGCTGCAGAATGCGTCCCTTGGAGCCTGTGAAAGGGTAAAAGACCAAAGTCTCAGCAGAGGTTTACCCCGGGAATTTCCATTGGAATTAATTCGGAATTGGCAGTGAATATTAATTCATACAATTAAGAATAATATAAAATTTTTTATTCATCATTTCTGTGTGTACATTTTTTACAAACAAAAAAATAAGGGAAGAAAGTTGAACAGCATTACGAAGAGACATTGAAACATTCATTACTCTTAATTAACAAATCATCAAATCTGCAGTTACGTATTACATTAATCATGACTTATCATAAACTGTTATTATAGTTCTTTCATTAATTAATAATAGATTAATCTTGTGTCAAATATATACACAAACGTTGAATTACTTTTCATCTTTTTTTAGGTCTGAATATCAGTCTCTGCATTCGAGTGAATAATATTTCAATTTATCTCTTTATATTCTCAAAATGCGCAGAACTTCCTGACACTTTAATTACAACAATTATGTACTCATCATTTCATCGGCCTCAAAATCCGTGGAATTTCCGTTCTTCAATCGTATCATCTTCATTTCCACTTTCAATTGTTAATTATAATGAGTCATTCTCGCAATCTAAAGATTCTGGAGATCGAATTTCTCTATTGTCCTTCATTTATACGATAAATATCGAGCACGTATATTATTTGTTCATTTATTAGTGAAGCCTTCGTATTCTCAACACTACGAAAAACAAAATAACAAATTTGTGCAACAGAAACATCAACTGAACAATTTGTAAAACGTGATTTTTATTTCTATCATTTTGTCGATCGATATGAGAATCATTTTCTGAGGCTCATCGCAACAGAAAAAACATGACAATTTGAAAAAATGACGAACCAATGTTCAATAGCAGAAAATATCCAATCGCTCGCTATAATTTAATACTAGACAGGAATGAAAAATACAAAAGAGACATTTTATTTTTCTTCTGTACACTTAGAGAGTACGATCACGAAATACTGAGACAGGGGGAACGAGGGAGCAATTAGAGTAGTAACTGTTATCGCTAAATAAATACAATATTTATAGTGCAGTGCATGCAGAGAAACGATTGAACGATAGAGGAAAAGGAAAAATTCGAAACGATTTCGCAGACTATTTCAGGAATATTTTCGAGAGAAAGAGATTTATTTCGTAGAAAATCAATGTCTTCCTAAATAGTCTACAAAGATTTTCGATTCCTCCAACAATAGCTAATTTTTTACGTTAACAAGGAGCTATATTGAACATTTTTTAGTCTCCTAGAGTCTCTCCCCACCACTGGAATATCTTCTGGATCGAGTATTTTATTTTTTTATAATGTATATTAATCCGTCTTTGACGCAGAAGAGACTCAATTAATTTATTGCTGTTTTTCGTATTTTTATTATTCCCTCATAATTACCATTACCATTTTTACAGAACGTAGAATTGCCTGGGGAATTTATTGGCTGAAGCCAGTGACATCTGCACATTTTATTTTTTTTTTATGAAGAAAATTGAAAATTTGTGTCCAATGTCTTCTGGCCTCAGCAGGTACAATCTTTCGTGATCCCTTGTTGTTTTTCTTTCGACTTGAATTGATGATTTTTCAGGGAATCGCACGCATTGCATTTTGTGCATTTTTCAGTTTTTTTTGTTTCGATTGGATTAATGATGAAAAAAATGTTTATCATTTTTCGTTTCAAGCAAGCAAGGCACAGGACCTCTACGGATTGAACGTGCGAATGCTAGGAGGCACTACTCAACAGATCCATGCTCTTAACGCCTCGTCAGCAGCAGCACCAACAAGTTACCACTGCAATGAGAATTTCTAGAGTGCTATTGTCGTTATGATTGAAAAAATTCGGTGGTGAAGATCGGGAATTTGAAGGGTTTAAATTTTTCGTCATTGAAAATTCACAATTTAATCGAAAAATCGAGGACAAAAGCCTATTCAGTTCAATTATTCTATAAAAACCGATGGAAATTAGTTTTAAATATATTTTGAACGAAGACCTCTTCACCACCGAATAAAACAGAAATAGAAAAGATCATTTCTCTCGAGAAAATTGATCTAACGTACTGAAAATTATTGTGTTATTATTGTTATCAAGTTACAGATTCATTTTGTAATCGTGGAAGAAGAAAATAACAAATATTCTTTGAACAAATTCATCATTATAAAAAAATGTAGCATTCTCATCCTCAAAAGAATTCTGATAACTTTAGACCCCCATTTTCTTCTTTCCACTAAATTACATAATTATTTGTGCCAAATAAAACCATCACCAAAACTGCAACCAACTGATTACCAAGAGACAGCGAAAAAAAAGACTATTAACATCGCGTGATATTTCCCCAATCAGAAATTGAGAAATTGTAGCAGAAAAGCAGTTTGGACACGTGTGTGATTTTTGTTGGTTTGTGAAAAGGTCGGTGGTGGAACCAGTTCCTTTTTTTCTAACATTTGTCTGCATCTGTGGAGCACACGTCGCGCTCCCATATTGGTATTACCGTTTTTTCCCTCAATTTTAATGAACACAATTCAATTGAGTTGCACAAATGGATTAATAGTCGATTAATCAATGGAGCATAATCGATCTCACGTTTTTGGCGATAATTATTAATCATGCAATTTGACAGTTTAATGCACCCAGGGAAGTGGTTTGTTTGGAATTAATTGATTATTTATTTTCGTTGCAATAAATACATGAGTTGCGTCATTTCCAATGAAAATATTCTTGAAATGAGTCAGAAAATGAATAAAAACGTTCATTTCAGCATAATAAATTGTTTTTCTCATTTAAATAATTTATTATCAAAAGATTTCGACCGAAAATGGCATTTAAATGAATGTAAAAATGTCGAATGAAGAATTTTATTTGATTCAAATCCGTCATGTCTCTGGATCGTGCATTAAAATTCAAATGAAAAATAAATTATCTCATGAATGAGTGTCTGGTCTCGTTTGAGAAACCACAGGCTTTACCCTGTGAGCCAATGAACCTGAGCTTAATTGGATCATCGGCATCAATTACACTCGCCGAGACGCGAATTCCGCCCACTCCTACATTCACACCAGGTTTATTCGTAGTACATTAAACTGTCAGTTTGTCTAGTTGAAGAATATCTTGTGGAAATTGTAGGAAAGACAGTTATTGAGGATCAAAGCTGTTTCTTGCGTGAAAAAATCAAAAATTCCCAGGAGATAAACTGATAATAATCCTCAGTTGAATGATAAAACGTAACGAGTCAATGTTCTACGGCATTCAATCACTAAATTAATAAGTCATTTGACTCAATACGTTTTGGCACTTGCTCCTCATTATTCTTAATTTTTTCGATGCATTAGAATTTTTCACACAAAATAAAAAACTAAAATTCATGCATCGGCATAAAAAAAAATTCCCAAAGATCGTTTTCGTTGAAAATTAGTGCAATTGACTTCGACAACCAATATTCCCACAAAATTTCATGTCTCGTAGGCACGGCGACTCTGATGTCAAGTCGAGACGTCCCCAGTAGTTTTTAAGGTCAATTGCTAATTGACACCATCATCTCATTTTTAAAAATGAGTCTCTCAATCCAACGTGTGAGGGAAAATAAAGGTCACAGGAGTCTCAAAATTATCGAAAAATAATTTGTTGAAAAAATCATTTCTACAGGTATTCTTGGTTTATTGTGAGTGGGGGTAATCGGGGTCTTATACTTCACCGGAAGCACCATCACCCCATTCACCAGGCCTGCCTCGACGAGACGTCTACGCAAGCTGGAAGAACGTTTTTTTCTCTTTTGGGTTTGATTTTTAATCTTTCAAAAATTTTGATAGAAGTGGTGAAGAGTAATAGATCGAGTCTCCAAATACATATTGTTTGATGAAGAGGTTTCATTTCATTAGGACCTTTTTTGCGGGACATTAATTCATTCTTTAAAAAACCTTCAACTATTATGGGATAATAACATTATTCATGAGCTTTTTCTATTTTTATTCGTTATTAAAATTTTTATACGATTTTTAGTAGTTTATAGAATTTTTTAAATATAAATAAAATCATTTCGATGAAAATTTCAAGAAAAATGTCAAGAGACTCTTTTCTCTTGGCATTTTCCCCTGAAATAATTTCTTCTGACAATAACTCGAATGCCAAAAAATTGAACGTTCGATCTATTACATTTCACCATACCAATGCAGAATTAATGATGTTCAGGCGTAAGCGACAGAGAAGAGACTGAGGAAGTTTAGTGAGTGAAAAGAAATGAGAAACTTCCTGGTAAGTTTATGAATAAGAAAATTTTTATTTCATTGTGAAAAATATTCTGCAAAAAGTCTAGTTATTATTTTTATTCACTCGAGATTCTTAGAGCATTCCAATTTTTAAGCGGAAAACAAACATTTTTTCAGGGAGTTCCATTTTATTTTTCAGTCGAAACCGTTGTTATTTTTTTATTCCTCTCCTTCATCGAATTCATTATTCCAGAAAAACATTTTTAGGAATTTAATTCACTCTTTACGCATTTTTTCATAAATTTCAATTTCACAATAGCTGATTTTTAATTTTTTTCTTCAAATTTCAACGAAAAAATTCTAAATTATTAACAAATAAAATGAATCCCCTGACGAACTCACTATATTACAATGAATAGTTACATTGTAATTGCACTGGCATGCACGGGCTCTGACACTCCCCCAATAACAATCACCCCACAACTTAAAAAACCGAAAATTGCAGTGGGAAAATGAAAAAAAAAACGAAAAAAAAAATCATCATTCCGTCATCTCTATCAAATAAACAATCGTAAATACTTCATCTCAATATTCGAACGTTAGTCTACCAAATAGGGAGCACAACGTTCAACAAACTCCGAGACTATCTCAAACTAATTAATTACCAAAGAAAATTAATAATTAATCATTAACAATAAATCTAATAAATCGTCCCTCATTCGTGTGTTTACTCGTTGCCGGGTGGCTCTACGCATCGATAAACTGTAAATTACCCACAGATATTTCATAAGAAAAATAAAAAAAATAACGAAATAAACGAGAAGAATTGAGGAAAAATATTATCAGAACAGATGAAAGAAGAATTTCTCAATAAAATAAGAGAAAAAAAACATTTGTAAAAAAAATAATATTTAGAAAAATCAACCACGTGCATTGCCGTTATGTATGGCGTTATGAATAAATTTGTTGAGTATTTTTAACTGATCTTTTTTGGTCTTTGGCATGAATTTGATGTTTTTTTTTATGATTTAAAGTCAACTTTAATTCCGAGCCTACCATGTTGTGGACGCCAGTAGCAGCAGGCGAGGTACAGGGCTAGGATTGTGACGAGCAGCTCGACGAACAGGAGAGACACTCCCACACCGATGATTATTCCAATGTTCTTCTCAATTGCCCGGGAAACTGCTTCGTAACAGCCCTGCAAAAATTACAGAAACAAATGTGGCATTTAAGAAATTGAATAGAAATATTCTCGAACATATTGATGCCTTCTTGAACTCCTTAGGATTGAATATTTGAAGAAGTGATGTAAATCGTTACGAATTATACCTAAAAAATTGTTTTGTAAACTCATTTGCATTATTGTAATTTTTTACAGCAGAATAAACTACATGATTTTAATGCTTAAATAAAAAAAAATGTGCAAAATGTAATTACAATTCTATTTTATTCGAATTTCTCCCAATGAATTAATTGAGAAAAAATTGAAAATGAAAATAGTTAAATCTGCAAAAATTTGCATTGAAGTATTTTTCCCCCAGCGTGTTTTCGTAATACCTCAAAAACCTGTTAGTTTATCGCACTCGAAACAATTTATCTCGCTTATTCTCTTTATCTAACTGTCAACATAGTTTTCATTATTACTGACACACTGAATCATTCAATATAAATATGAATGTAAAGAGGTGAGCCGCTGGAGATTAGATAAAGCGTCATAAGAATGAATCGTAAACTCACAGTTTGGAAATAAGAATTCGACTCCGATGGGCTCAATGGGCAGGAAAGATCCTCGAGAACGCCATCTTCGCCTCGCTTGCAGCAAGCCTCTGGAATCATTTTTCCAGTGGTTGTCCAGTCTCGATTCTGCTGGAAATCTCTGTAATTCTCGACACCACAGCATTTCAACTGCAACGAATAAAAATTTGCTGCTGCAATACCTGTCTATTTTGCCCACAGTTATTTTCTCTCGTAAATCATTTACCGTTGTACATTATTGTTAATTAATTTTGGGATTATTTGGATCGTAATAAATTGATTCAACACCTTAAATTTGAAGAATTGCAAATCTTCCATTCGAAAACAAAAATAATCCCACGACATAGTTTTCCCTCTTCACAGAAAGAGTGAGATCTCGTAAACACTGACTCACATTTTTCTCACCGAATTCACGTTTTTATTACGTTCGCATTTATTTATACCTGAATCATAGCCCCATCCCACGCAGCCGTCACAGCCTCAGTTTTATCTTCATTCGAATTGTAGTACTTTATCGTCGACTTGAGGAAATCTTTTGTGCTCCTCTCGGCCTTGGAAAAGTTCATTAAATTAGTCTAAATGCCTTCAAATCTTCCGCTTCATCATTTCACCACTGAATTGTTTCTTAATTATCGTGAAACTTACGTCTCCTTTAAGACCGAATGCCAGACCAACCACCACACATTCCAGGACGAGAACGATGAGAATGAGGATTCCATACTGCGAAGAGTAACAGTAAAGTTTATGAACATTGAAAAATTCAATCGAATACACGACTTTTAATAATTAAAAACCATTTTTTTGTTTGTTAACACAGAAATTGAGCAATTCACATTTTCGAAATATATTTGTTGTCTACTGTCCACAAAGCTAAATTATTTACCACGCAGAGAAGACACCTGGACTCAAACATGGCACCGCAGTAGCCCAAAAAGCTGACGATGAACGTCAGTGCACCTGCAACAATGAGGATGTAGGCGATCATCTTTATGACATCACCATCAGTTCTTGTCTGAAACAGAGAGGGGAAAAAATCCATAGAAAAATAATTATTATTTATTCATCTCTTTGGTGTTACAAATGTTTTTCTTTGTTTAACACCGATGCAGTCCTCCTCCTCTCCTGAATAATCAGTTAACATCAGTTGTATGAGATTTCTTTCCATAGAAAAATTTATAACTCGAAAAAAAGAGTGATTAGGAGTGGTTTCCACCCCTGGGTGCTCCAGCCAGTTTATAAAGCGCTGGTGACAAGGGGAAAGGGTGAGAGGATAAACCTATGAGAGTGGTCGTTCAACACCTGTTGAGCATTTCCAAGTGGTTTGTGCCTTCAAGCGTTTGCAGAAGTATATTTCGCTGGAATACACCTCGTTTTCAAGACACTGTTGTCGCAAATGCTTGGGAAATCATTTCAAACAATTTACAAACATTCAACCGCGATTGTTTCCTGAATGAAATTGACGTTATTTGAATGAAATAAATGGTTTTATTCAAAAACACGTGAAATTAAAATTGTTTTAACATAAATGAACGAAATTTTGCTATCCAGATGAAGACTATTTTCTGGAACTGAAATGACTGTTTAAAGAATGAAGATAATTAATTTATTCACAAGTAATAGTCTTTTATTTGGAAGTATCATCGAAATAAATGTATGAGTTTATGAATTCCCACCGAAAATACCGTTGAAATCAGTGGAAAACTGTCACAGTCGATAGAAACCCATTATTTCACCTCCGATCTTCGTCAATTTTTAATTGTCATATAAATTTTTCAACGCCCCTCGGATATTCCCACACGGCTTGACCCCATCCCTGGCACCGATAAAATACAGAGCATAGATTGAACCCCTGACCTGTCCCACTGAACAACTTTACAACCCCCCAATCGATTCAATTCGGTGAATGCCCTCCAACTAATTCACTTCAAGTTTGGATAACAACCTCAAGAAGTCAAACAATCGAGTATTTACACTCAACACGCGATACAAGAGTTGTAAATCAACATTGCATAAGTGTGTGGGCGATCGATGGAGCCCCACCCCCAGGGGAGTAAATGAATTCTCGTGTGTCTTTCGTCATTCTAGTTTCTTTTGCCATCTCGACATGCTAGGGAAGTAGTGCAATGAGGGCATCAACAGGTGTCGAGAAAAACGTGATTCTTTGACTATTAAAGTAGAATGAGCATAACTTGAACGCTGAAGACTAATATGTGAAGTAAATTCTAAACGAAGTTCGATGTGAATGGAAACAATTCGGTTGAGTCGGTGATGAGTATTTTTTTTGTTATTGAATTGATTTTTCGTCATTACACTCAAAGACTCAACGACTCAACTCCTCAAACTGAAATTTCCTCGAAGGACGATTTTTCTAATCAGATGGCTCTCAATGATTGAAGACCTCTCGGCGAATTCTGATTGATCAGAAATCAGACTGTCCGAGCATAACGTTCTAATTACCCGCCTGCAATGCCTCAATGCATTTCCCCCTCGAGCGACCGAGGTGGTCCACGTTTCCTGGATGATAATTAACGTCCCACCAGGTGAGGAAAGAGACATTCAAGCTTCATTACACAAGGCAACTGGTACAGACGAGTTCCAACAGTGCTTCAATATTCAAATGAACTTACATCATGTTTATTATCTCGGCGTGATATTAAAAATGATGAAAATAGCATTTCATGGTTCACCGGGTGGTGACTATCGGCATCTCTTCAATCACCTTTGCAAGTTTTTCTTTTGCATTATAGAGAGCGAAATGTCAAGTTATAATTATTTGTGAGGAGTTAATAAATCTAGCAGGCAATCAATAAAAAAAGTTCATTGAAAAAATACAATGCATTATTTATCTGGAAAAAAAAATTATGAATGTAATTGAGCAAATAAAAATATGGAGTGGAGAATTATTTACTAGAATAAAAAATTGGTAATTACGAAGTTTTAATTAATGTCAGGGCAAATTGGTCGAGCTTCACGTATGCAACATCAGTGGGCAGTGGTATATCGAGGCGTTAATGATCGTCACCCACTGGTTTGCACTGATATTTTTATTGTCACCTATTCTCATACCCCCAGTGACGTAACACAATTTTTCCACTTGTTTTTTTTTAATGATTAAAATACAAGCGATCGTTATTCATGCCACGACATGACTAATTAAGCGAATGGGCTTTTCCTAGTCGAAGGTCATACGTGTTGGTGTTGCTTGAAGGATTCCACGGAGGAAAATCATGCATACATCTCTTGTACCATTAATTTTTTTCGCATTGTTGCTATTGAAATGAGGCTCTTTGCATAACATTATTGAGGCGCTGTCCGCTGTATTTATTGCTGTTCTCGGTTTTAAACTCTAGGGTAAAATTGAAAATTTTTATCAGACGACAGTTTCACGGAAATTTCAAGGAATTTCGTCTTTAAAAATTCCGAATTTTATGGTAAAGTCACTGGCAACTGTGAAGTTCACAAAAATTCATATAAATGAGGAAATTCAGCAGAATATATTTTTAAATTTTCAATTAATTAAAAATTGGGGGTAATTCGGGTCTGAATATTCCCATTTTCATTGAAAATTCTGAAATCTCGTGATTGTTTTCTCCGTAGAATCAGAATCAGAATAATAAACAGCGGAGAAATTCCAAGCCCATTTAATCTTTGTTTTTTCAATCTTTCTTCTCTATTTTTCCTCCCAACTGTTGCGTAAGTTTACGCCTGCCGTCTGGGTTTATATAATCCTCGGCTGCAGGTGATTTTTCATGTACTGTCTGGCTATTGATACTTTTACACGCGAAAGACTACATGTGACGAGGAATAAAATCATAAAATCGGGAGAAATGTCGAGTAAAATTAGGGAATGAAGAAATTTCTGGAATGAAAAAATTTCTTCTATTGAGAAATAGCTGTCTTTGATAAAACGGAAATTGATGAATTTTCAGCTGTGAAATTAATCTCCATGTTATTATTTCGCACCCAGCGGCTCATTCCCTTTTGAACTTTTGCGATAAAGTGAAGAAAGTTGAGAGGATATTGTACCGGCTTTCCGTGTCTTGTGAGATGAAAGTCGAGTGTTACTTTTACTTTCCGCATTTCGCCCGCTTCTCCTGCGGTCATGCCTGGACAGAAGCCCATCCGGCTGTGCATCAGAGCAAGTGTACACAATGCACCCAATAATTAAGTCATTAAGATCATTAACAATTGAATTTTTTACTAGAGTAAACGATTAGATCACGATAAAAAAATTTATCAATTCCAAACGAAAAATTTCCCCATAAAATCTAAATTAAAATTCCATTCTCAAACAATTTTGTTTGGCAAAAATCAATTCAACTGTCGCAAATAATTTTTTTTAGTCCAGGAAATGTTTGTTATGAATAAAAATGGAATAAAAATGAGAAAATGTGGAGCTACTATTAATCCGGAGTGATGAAAGGAAAAATAAAATCGATCGGAACAAGTTGTCGTTAGTCAGAACTCTTGAAAAATTTTTCTCATCAAGTTCTGACCCAAAAAAGTCCGCCCTACGTACGTCAATTCTAACGGTGAATCACACACAACTCGAACCCTGAGAATAACATAATGTCGCAGTGTAACGCAACGAGGCATCAAGAGAACTCGAGAGCACTCGTCATGAATCCTAATGTGGAGCTCAACTCAACTCATCTGTCCTCCTCTCTCGTTACACTATGAAAACTACCGTCTTGTTTACAAGCCTCTGCCTATTTGCATGACCAAGTGTGCTTGGTGTATAATACACGTGGGTGTGGCTCCTTCCCTTTCATTCGGGTGGAGGTGCCATCACACGTGAGGAGACGTCATAATCATTAAAAAAATTATTTCATCTTTTTCACAGTTTGAGGGATGTCCAACACAGTGTCATAATCATGAAAAAAATTGTTTCAGCGCTAGAAATTTTTTGAAACTCGAAGTATCATGAATGGACTACAGTTGAGTCGTTGAGTGTAACGAGAAAAAATAAATTCAAAAAGTAAAAAAAAAACTTATTCGTCTTTGATAATTTTTCCAGCGATAAATTATTCAATTATTTTTCTAAAGAATAATCTCTCGATTGACTAGGGTCTTTGGACATCACTGTGACCGAGACTGCATGCAAAAATTATTAAATCTCATGACGAAATCATTTGCCCGATTTTTATCACAACCCAATTTCATGCTTTCTCGCAATTTCAAAGTAATTGAATAATAATGACACTAAATGACAATTTCACTCGGCATTTGAACCCCCCGAACAGTTGAGTAATTCCGCAATTAAATTCATTTGCGATGAAAGTGAGAGAATAACGGACTTTCATCTCAATTTTTAAGTCTTCAAAATGTGCAAACAAAGGTATTAATTTTCAAGAGGGAATTGAGCGGCTTCACTCAACGCTAATCCAGCGTATGGTGTTGTCTCCACGAAAATCAATAGTCTAAAATAGCCTCAGGGAACCACTAGCCAATGCAAAGTTGCAGAAAATTTTCCACTTTTTTTTTCATTTCAAAAATTCAATTAAAAATGTTTTACGTCAATTTTTGAGGGACAAAAAATGGAAAAAAATGCGAATTCCTGAGCAGTTCAAGTTACACGTAATCCCGCGGGTATTATGTCGTGCACGCGACCGGTAAGACCAGACGGTTGTCGAGGTGAAATTCAGTCAAGCACGATAAATGCAGAATTCCATGAGTTTTGGTTGTTTTATGTCTGAAGACAAATTTATAATATTTAGTCCATTCAAGGGAATTCCAATTCAAAGGGGGTGTCAACACGTGATAAGGGGGATAACAACACAGATGATTCTAAAGATAAATATCATCAGATTATTGGATAAAAATCGTTAAATTGAAGATAGAGAAACCCCTGAAGGATGGAGTGAAAAACGGAGGCGGAATATCGACAGAGACAACCAAAATTGAAGACTCCCATGGACTTGACGCAAGAATTTCGTCACACCTGGCTTGCATAAGCCGATCACTTCCCCTTCATTCATTCGAATCCACCGATGGAATCGACTTTCTTCTCATTTCCCACGAGTCAATGATATTACCACGCCCTCATTGCCCTTCTGCATCAACAATGTTTTTTCACATCATTGTTCATTGTCGATTCTGATTATTTTTCAACTTGCAGGCCATTTAACTGGATTTACGTCTCCCAAAGAATGTCTTTATGCGCCTCATAATCCGATTATTAATTCAATCTTAAGATCAATTGTCCCGAATCATTCGATTTCATAAATTGAATGAATTTGATTCATCGATCAATTTAAATGTCGTCAGTTCAATAACGATGGGGAGATGATATTATTTAGAGTTTTTCTTTGTTGACTAATTAGTTAATTGAGGGGAGAAAACACTTTGCAGTTTGTCCATGATTATTTAGCGTTATTAACAAGTTTTTAAAAGCAATTCACGCGCCCTTAATTTGAAAATAATTCCAGGGACGTCAGCAGTAAGTTTACACTCTCACTGCAGATTTCGATGTTCAAATATCATGAATTAAGGGTTTTTGTAAAAAATATTAACTAAAAATTGATACAAATTTATTGTAATTAATGAAGAAATAATAACGCAATGCATAAACTTATTCGTTGCACTACTTCTCAAAGATAAAATAGGAGCGCGTCGGAGTAAAAAGAGGTATAACGGAGCTGGTTTAAGTTTCCAGAAGTGGAAAAATCGTGTCAGCCCAAGTGAAAGAAAATATCCAACTTCATTATTTTTATCCACCGTGGAATTTCCGGTTAACGAGAAAATCCATCGTCATTCGGCGAATGACGAGCAGAGGAAGATGGCAAAATAACTGAGAGGAGAACTCAGCTTCATAAATCCACACTGCTAATAATTTTTTGAAACGTCATAGATTTGAATTAAATTTAGGCTATTTCGTTTGTATCTCTCCGTCATCGATTTTTTAATTCTAAAATATTCTCATCACTATTTTTGAGAAATCGTGGCTCAATTTTGACATCAGTATTTAACGCATCACTGGTAATGACACGAAAGCGTTCATAATTATGCAGCAGTGTGGTGAGACTGCACGGCGAGTCGAGCATGAGGGAGAAAACAAAAGAGTTTTAATGGATACTTTCATGTAGACATCGGAGTTATCAATCTCCAGGCGGTGAAATCGCCTCGGCAAGTTCAAGTGCGAGATAGATTACATAAGGGGCCTTTATCACTGCCAAATGTCCCCCTGCACTGCTCAACTCAATTATAATTAATCCATCCTCCCATTGCGCGTACACTATTGAGAATTTTTTCTCCAGGGAATTTTTTTCTCCATCAAAATTGCCCGACAGACATTCCTCAACCTGAAGTGACATTAAAAAAACATGAAACAACACAAAGACCTCTCTATTCTCCTGAAATAAATGAGCGCCTGAAAAATTGTCTCGAGATTCTCGAGCTATCGTTGGTCCTAAAAATACTTCCATTATCTTGAATAATTGCTATCTACCACTATTTCATCAGAGGGGCTACATGACACTTTGGCCCCGGGTGAAGAATAAATTATTTCTGCGTTTATGGGGCCTCCCAGGGTTTCATTGGCATTAGACGGGCCAAAAAATACAGAATCGACGTTCACTCGGTGGAAAAATTAGATTTTGGCGAAAGTCGACTTTCCCCCTGAAAAGCCTAGATGTAGCACTTTGGCCCCGGGTGCAAAAAAAAAATTTATTTCTGCATTTCTGGGGCCTCGAGTGTTTCGTTACGTTTGTTCGTCTTGAAAACACTGCCATTATCTTGAATAATTGCTATCTACCACTATTTTCTCAGCGGGGCTATATGAGGGGCTATATATAGCCCTTCCGAGTCTTAATTGTCCCTCTCAAGGAAATTGTCTCATCTTATTAATCCAATGTTGCAATACGAAGACAGCTATTGCAGCGTCAATCTCAATCCTCAAACTCCGGAGGCATTCTCCACCGTTTTTTAAATATTTTTATGCAAGTGTTTAAGGACGCGAAATTTAATAATGAGAAAACATGGAATTGAGATAATGGAGAACACGCGCTATCACGAGGTATCATTATACTGTTGGTCACGTAAAATAAATGTGTAATATAATGCCATTTTCGTTGGGTACAAGTGCACTGAATAAATGTCGGAGGGACTCCTACGCTAATACGAGATGTCGGACAATTGTTTGAGTGTTCTTCGGCCTCGTTTTATTCGTGAATTACCGATAATTGTGGGCTAACGTGTCAACTATTCAATGAAGCAAACGTTTTTATCTGAGTAAGAAACTGAAAATGTCGAAGAATATTTTTTTCATTTCGATCTTGAATGAAAAAGTGTCAAAAATGTTTACGATTGTAGAAAAAAAAATACCGAATAATTAGTGGAGACAATTTCGGAAGTGACAATATGATGACGCGCGAAATAAAGGAAAAATGGGAATTAATGGTCGAGGAAAAATGAAAGGAGCCTTGACTTATGGATACAATGACGCGTAAATTCTGTGGAACCACCGTGTCATTGGAAAGTTAGGGAAATTTCAGTTTCCCCAATGATGCAAAAAGATTTAATGCAAATCTTCCCAAGATTTCCAATGGGACGCAATTGCGAAGAGGAAAGTGCAGAGATGTCTAGTGCATTGACAAATTAACAATTGTCCGAATCTCTGACTCTGAATATTATTTAGTTTTAATATTATTTATTTCGCATTTTATAGGTGATCTAAAGGCATTTTGATAATTATTATTCGATATATCCCTGATATATCGGCAGGGGTTTTCCATTCTTCGAATAGCTTCCCCGGTAAATTTTAAATTCTTTCGATGAAAAACAAAATCGTTGAATATTTCAACTTTGAGAAACCTCAAGAATTCCACCGAAGTGAATCATAAACACCAATAGACATCCTTCCAATGCTTCTACCTGATAAGGATCATCTGTTTCCTGGCCATAAAAGTTCCTAATCTTAAATCTCCGCAAATTGTGTCTTCCGGTAGCCGAGTGGCTGCGATGCGCGTTGTTGAGAGCCAATAAAAAATTGCCAATGCAGAGGGAAGAGGGGTGGAGAATAAACAAGGGCTGAGAAACAACATGAGGTATTTGGAGCACAGCCAAGTTGCGTAAAATTATGCGAACAGGTGGTCGAGGTGGAGACTCTTTATGGCAACCTGTGCGGAATTCACGAGGTACCAGTGCCTGTCTCGTTTGATCCCTGAGATTCCTCTTTTGGGGGAAATGACTTTGGGGGGGGGGCTCATATGCAGAGATGGCATCAATCTTCCGATTAAATATACCAATCGAAATGAAAAAATGGTAAAATATTTGATAACCTAAATTTCGCATTGATAAATGAATTAAATATTTAACAATATGGAATTGTAATTTTTCTATTGATAAATAATATTTGTCAATCTTCCTAACTAAATTACTGATTAAATTTATGATTACAGCAATAATCAAAATTTAAAAGTGGAGTATTAACGAATTGACTACTCAATAATTTAACGGTAATTATAATTTATGGACATGGCTATCCTCGCTCACCAATTTCCTGTTGTTACTCACCAATAAGTCTCCTCCGTCCATTTTTGCGAAGAGATTGGTGAATGATGTCCTGTCTGCTAGTAGCCATATTCCTACTGTGAGTGCTGCACCACCAGCAAGCTGAAACAAAAAGCATTATACTTGGTAATCGAGACAAAAAAGCGATGTCCAGGATCGAGTCCATTCTTGTCGCAATATTTATCATGCGATAAATTTCTCCGGAATCGTCGCAGATGACGAACGACCGAATTTTCAGCGCAACAAGAAATCGCTCACGAACTGTAACATGAGGTCAAATATGGAGTGCATCATCGTGAAGGCCTTTTGTAGGCTTCAAAATGGTATATGAATCATCTCTATTCAGGAGAGAATGACGTCGTTATCACTCTTTAAACAACGAAAAATTATTAGTCTGCAATTTAAGGCCATTTTAGGGAATTTAAGGGAACTTAACAGGTTCGATTCCTGACCGGGTAGAATGGTGAGATCTAACCATTTTTAAAGTCTTGATCAATCGCCATATAGTCTCATCAGACTCGAAGCGATATAAAATAAGCATTAAAAAAAAAAAAAAAATTTATTTCGACGACTCTATGATGAAAAATGTTGTACGAAATTTAAGTTTAATACTCACAAAGAAGACAAAATTGAAGAAGCACAGGAAGTACTTGGCGCACCTCGACATACAGCTCATTTTCTCAGGCGTTCAAGATCTGCAACAAATGGGGGAAAAAGCAAAATTAATCAACATTAATCACAGTCATCAACCCAAGAGCCGTTAAAACAATGAATATTCATGTTTCATTCTTCGGGGGTTCAAAAGGGAGATGAGCTCTGGGAGAGCTAAACGAGAATATAGCCTGTGACAAGTGGTAACGCCCAGACCCAGAGCGAGAGGATATTGGCGTCGGGTGTTCGATAGTGTTGTGAGTTTGCTCGTTAGGATCGTTGCAACAACGGTTCGTTAAAATTATCCCACTGGCAGTGGAACACGGGGGTAAATACGGTAGTGGATGCAGAGCTCTTGCCAAATATTTGTATTTAATGCTGGAAATTATTGCGAGGGAAATCGTCTCGACAATTATGCGAGATTCAAACGATAAGTCGAGTCGTTTAACGGAATAATAAATTCAAAAAGCCAAAAAAAAAAAAATGACTGAAATGTGCCCGTCACTGCCCCATCGATGCAGTTGATTGAAATTTTTAGTTTGAAAACAAAAAGGGGGAAAGTTGCATTCACTGATTAAACAGCGGTTCGTCTCGGCGGTACTATCACGGCTATTAGTTTCGAGAATGAATTGAAAGTTCGGAATCAGTGGATCCAGCGCAGAGAGAGAGAGAGAGAGAGCCGGAAAAAATAATGAGAACAATGAGAGGAAAACGAGGGTAATATTGCGCCTCCAAGGCGCACCCTCTCGACTTCCTCGTGTCCGCTTTGGCGAGACGCCAATCGTGCTTCTATTTGTCGCACGCTCTTTCAAATGCTGATGTCCCCCGCATGTTCAATTTTATTGACATTTTCAAGCGTTTTCAATCGGCTAGAACGTTTGAGGATTACAAAGAGGTCACAATGTTTTCGCATTTTCCCTCTCGTTTATTTCCGGTGACTTGAATATCTATTTTCGATTTTCTATTGTTCTGAATAGCGATGAAGTCCCAGTGACTGCCCTCTGCAATTTTTGGATGGATGGAATTTAAAATTTAGCGAGGAAAAATAAACAAATCATCTTAGTGCATTTAATAACCTGATATTTTTAATTAGGATGAATTGCCTCGGATTTTTCCTCCAAAAATGTCTTCAACACCAAATTTTCCTTGAAACCATAAAAATGAGAATAAAAAAAATCGTTCACGTCGCGCCTGCTCGAGTTACCCAGGTAGAAATTGACGATAGAAACAGGACTCATCAAGAAAAAAGGAGAAGAACATAAAAAAAGGGAAAGCGGGAAATTAGTGAGGCAGAGGCACTGCCGAGTCTGGGGATTCGTTAATCGATGAGAGCACTCGACGGTGTCCGTTGTTGTCTCCTCCTATCGACTTTGTAACACGCGTTTTCCCATCGTCTCCACCCATTCCTCATCAAAACGTCCACCTTTTGTGGGGATAACGAAAATAAAAAGTCAGCTGACGATAAATAGAACGAGACAATCCACTCGCAAAAGCTCCAATCGTTTCGATTTCATTTGTTCTGTATTCTTTCTGCTGTTTCCACTCCATCTTTTGTCTCACTTAATTGTGCATGGATTGTCTATTGATGTAACCAATGTGCGATAAGGCAATGATTGAAGGTCGAGTGCTTCACACCTTTGAATAGCGACATTCTTGTCTTGTCGAGTATTATTTTATTGAATTGCATTCTTGTCACGCCTTCGAGTCCTTTATTCGCCGCAGAACAGAGAACGACCCTCGTGACGACACTGCGCACCCTCAGTGATTTTTTAATGGATAGAATTTTTAATTTATCGAGGAAGGGCAAAGGGAATTTTCGATTCTTCCAGTGAGAACAAGAATTATTGCTGTCAATCCCAAATGATGGAGAAGATTATCTACTTGGTGCGTTGATTTGGTGAATTATGAATAAAATTCAATTATTTGACGCTCATTAACGAGAAAAATATTCTCACCAAAGTCTCGAAAGCTTCAATTTCCCAATGAAATTCAGATAAAAAAATGATCCATTCGCTGGAAAAACACGGTTTTTCCTGTACAAATTGAATTTACTCCACTCAATTAACGAGCAAAAGAAAAAAAGAGAAAAATCCAAATAAAACTCGAGATGTTTTTCATCAATCGCTCCAGTTCTCCAATCCCGGGGAATGTAAAACACTCGGAGGCCACAGGGGAAATCGTCGTCAACCAGGATGAGCAAAAAATAGTGAAAGAGTCACTCGATGAAACATCAGAGACATCAAGAGGACTGCGAAGTGTTTGTTAAAGGGTATGGGAGAAAAAATCGCGCCGGCATCTTGTGTGAGAGGAGACACAAGATCCGGATGACGCGTTCTTGGAATTCACCGAGTGACCGAGTCGATTAGGGCAAAACTACTGGTTAACAGACGTACAAGCCAGGCTCTCTCAGACAATCTGGCAGGGTCGATGATCTCAATTACGGACATATGTGGAACGAATTCATTTTCCAAAATTAAAATTTAATTTTTCAAAGCCGAGTAAAGGGGAATGATTTCCTTATTGCATTTTTATTGGAGTGACTTCATGAGATTCACAGAATAAATCGCGCGATGAATTTTCTTGAATAATTTTTTAAGTAAGAATGTTTATCCAGAATCGGTTGCACTAAAAAAAATTGATTTTTTCATGCTGATTAACAGAGTTATCTCCTTCATGCTTGAAGTTTTATGAAATGATGAACGACGGAAAACCAGAAAAACCCCATTTTCTGAAGCACGAATTGAAGAAAAATTGGAAAAATCATAAACCTGCAGATAACCATGAAATATCGGCCAAGGCCAATATTCATAAATCCCTGTGGCGATTACCCCGTGTATCTCGCTAGTTAGTTGGTCTCACTCTTAGCACACGGATATTATACCTGAAGCGCAGAGGAGCGGAAGTGAATCAACGAGGCGCAACGTTACGTGCCTCTAATCATCCAGCTCTGGTAGTAGGTCAGTGCCGATGCTGACTTTTTTCGCTAATTCTTTTATCACCAAAACCAGTTCTCCAATTTTCTCAATTTTCCAAAATCTCAAAAAATATAAAAAACATCACAATTTGACTTTTTCATATTTTTAATAAACCTCAATCATTTTTTCAAATATACATAAACTTCCTGAATATCAAGTGAATGAAAATTATCAGAAAATAAATATGACTTTTGCTCCTTGAGAAAATTATCTGAACGAATGAAAAAATAAACAAAAAAAATTGAAAAGTATTTTGTGATCGTTGTCTCTCATTCAACTTTTCGATTTTCGAAATTTTCGAAAAATACTTCGCACACGCAAAAATTGTTTACACGAAAGGAAAAAAAAAACAGTCACTTGTCATTTCCTATTGTTTCCGACGAAAAATGTTAACAATTTTACCCATCTTTGGCACGTGAACACCCCGGGAGTCACTGAACTCTAGCCACACGACAGGTAGAGGCCATGGTGGGGGTGTAATCACCCCTTCTTATCATGTACAAAATCGATATGTATATGCAGTTACGCGAAGTGGATCGCTGCTGCAGTGGAACGACACGAGGCGCAAACGAAAATACTGTTTGAAGTTCACTCACCCTTTCCTCCACCCCCGCCTCCTAAGGACTCTAGAGGTCATTCAACTCGAGTTTAAAGCCACGAAGCATTTTCCCAAAAACCAAAAATAGCGTCGTAAATAATTTTTTAGCTTTGTTTATCCCACTAGTTTCATTCATGCCTTCCTCTTTATTCGGTTTTGTTTTAAATTCTGTAATTCGGCTTTCTTCTGAGGAATACATACCCCGAAACGTTACAATTCTCACGACTGGAGAGACTACGTACAGTACACATGAAGTATTACGCACCACGTGTCGCCAACTGCTCTACTCTCACGGCCATAATATTGTTAGCTATGAGCTACACCGAGACAGGGGGAAAGCAAATCCCCGATTAATGTAGTATAAACATTGCTTGAATTTTGAAGATTAAAATCTGAAGTAAATTCTAAATGAAATTAATATGAATAGAAACAATACGATTGAGTTTATCCTCAATCGAGTATTATTGATAATAATTCAGCACGAAATGCAAAAACAAGAAGAGTGTCATGAGAAAATTAACAAAAATTAAACTGTAGATTAGGGAGAAGATTAAAATAAAGAAAAAAAATGTGGGAAAAGTGAATAAAAATTGCATTCGAGTTTTAGATATAAGAAAAAATTATTTTAAGTAAAAATAACAAAGCAGAGAATAATTAAATTAAGAAATCATTGAATGCAGCCGAAACCCCTAATTTCCGGACGACTCGGCCATATTTCTTTTATTTATTAAGTGTCGATCAATAGAATAAATAAATAATCACACGATTAAACCCGAGTTATATTATTGAACGGTGAAATAATCAGTGCAATTTTCATTCTATTAATTGTGGAATATTCAATGCAAGTTGAAATCCTCCGCAAATTCGTCTGTTTACCCCACCCAATATGAAAATTATATTATTTTCACGTTCGAAAGATCGCCGTCATTTTCTAACCGGCGCCCCACGGGATCGACCAAACAGCTTCCTGATTATTCGTGGTGTGTATAATGTCAGCTGATTCCCCGGTCGTGCGCACACGAGACAGCATTCCACCGAGGGTCCAGTGTAACAGCAGAAAATTCTCTTCCCACAACAGAAGAAGAACGAGTAAAACCAAAATGAAAAATGCTGATAAAATCTCTCAATTGATAAGTTAAATTATCATTCTGAAATTCTCAGGCAATTCATCTGTGGAATTTTCGTGGGAGATGCCGGGCCCGGAGCAATTAGACTGGGATTCTGGAGGCTGGAAGCAGGTGCAGTGGTGAAAGGGGAAGGTGAGGGAGGAGAAGAAGGGGGGGGG